AGTCTTCACTTGACATGAGCTGGGTTGTGTTGACTGCTACCTCGGGAGAGGTATCTTCTTCTTCTTTTTGGACGGACACAAGGCGTGTGGATTCGAAGTCTGTAGCCGTTGCTAACTTGGATAATGCATCAGCGTGCGCATTCTCCTCCCTTGGTATTTGTGCATATGTTACTGCTTCGAACGTTGCGGCTCTCAACTTAACGCGCTCCATGTAATGCGCCAGTGTGTCCTCCTTGGCGTCAAACGCGCCATTCAGCTGATTGACCGCTAGGGAGGAATCAGAGAGTACCCGTATCGTTCTTGCTCCCAAGTCGTGAGCAGCCGTCATCCCCGCCAAGATGGCCTCGTACTCCGCAGCGTTGTTTGTTTTCAACGCCCTAAACCTGATTGCGATTTCGTGCATCACGCCGGCAGGTGTGCGCACCACCACCCCTGCTCCGGCGCCATGTTTGCTCGCCGCTCCATCGACGTAAACTTCCCAAACGCCCTCCGGCGTTGTTTCGAGGGTTACCCCTTCTGCGATGAAGTCCGCTAAGATTTGGGCCTTTATTGCTGGCCTTGGCGCGTATTGAATATCATACTCCGACAGTTCGACCGCCCATTTGACCATGCGTCCCGACACCTCCATCGAAGTCAGAATCTTTTTTAGTGGGAGGTTTGTCAGGACGGTGATTTGGTGTGCTTGGAAGTACGGGCGCAGCTTCTGTGAAGCGCTGACTAGTGCCAAGGCAGCCTTCTCGATCGGGGAATATCTCGTTTCCGCGCTGACGAGAGTGCGCGAGGTGTAATACACCGGTCGCTCGGTTTTTCCATCTCTTCGGGATATCAGCACTGCACTCACGGCTCTTGTCGACACAGCGAGATACAAGAAAAGTTTTTCATTGATCTTGGGGGCAGTCAGTACAGGGGGGGATACAAGATATGCCTTTAGTTCCTGGAAGGCCGTTTCGCATTCTGTAGACCATGCGAAGCGTGTCCCGTTCTTGAGTGTTTGGAAGAAGGGCGCACATTTGTCAGCGGACCTTGGTATAAATCTCCCCAGTGCCGCTATCTTGCCATTCAGAGATTGGATCTCCAATGCGTTCCGAGGCGCCCGTAGTTGTTGGACCGCGGTGATTTGCTTTGGGTCGACCTCTATGCCGCGCCTGGTTATCATGAACCCAAGAAACTTCCCCGCTTCAGCTCCAAAAACGCACTTGAGTGGGTTAAGGCGGAGGCTGTGCTTGCGGAGGGCTTCGAAAGTCTCGCGCAGGTCATCTAGGTGCGACTTGCCCGACTTCGTTTTGACAATGAGGTCGTCCACATACGCCTCGATGTTCCGCCCGATCTGTCGCGCGAAGACAGTGTCAATCATTCTTTGGTATGTCGCGCCCGCGTTCTTCAATCCGAACGGCATCCCTACGAAGCAAAAGTTCCCGAACGGTGTCATGAACGCCGTTTTTTCTTCGTCTTCCACGGACATCGGGATTTGGTGGTATCCTGAGAACATGTCTAGGAAAGACAATGTCTCATGGTCGGCAGTGGCGTCGATCAGCTGGTCGATGCGCGGTAAGAGATAAGGGTCTCCCGGGCATACTTTGTTGATCGTGGTGTAGTCGACGCACATCCGCCAAGCTCCTGACGATTTTTTGACCAAGACCACGTTTGCCAGCCACTTTGGATACTTCACGGGGCGGATCAATCCGGCTGTTAGGAGGCGCGCCACCTCCTCTTCTATCGCCTTCAGCTTATCGCCGGTGAAGACCCTCCGCCCTTGTTGTCTTGGCTCCGCGTTGGCTGGGACTGCGAGGCTGTGCTGAGCTACCTCTCTGGGCACCCCTGGCATGTCCTCTGTGCACCATGCGAAGAGCTCCTTGTACTCTCTCAGCAACGTCACGAGTGGTTCGATCGCGTCGCCGGCGACGTGAGTGGAGATGCGTATCTTCCTAGTCGGCTCGGCGGGGTCCAGCGCGACCTCGAAATCGGAGTCCATGGACTCCGGTCGAGGTTCTTCGGCTCTTGTGTCGACTATGTTGGTTTGACGCGCCACAACGCGATCTTCCCATGTCGTTCCTCGCGCTTCCCCCACCCCTCTCTGTGTTGGGAATTTGAGCTTCTGGTGGCACGTCGACGGGAGGGCCATGAACTTCGCGAGGAAAGGTCGGCCTAAGATGCCGTTGTGCGCCGATTCACAATTGACGATTGTGAATTCCACTTGCCTGGAGACGCGCGGTTCCTGGTCGCCGATTACCACTGGGAGGGTGACCACCCCAATCACCGGGACTCTGGTTCCGGAGAACCCGACCAGGTTGCCTTGCACGCGCCTGATTAGGCGTGGGTCGATGTCCATTTTGTTAATGGTGCTCTGGAAGAGGATGTCAGCCGCACTACCCCCATCTATCAGGAGACGGTGGGTCTTGCAGCCTGCAATCAGCGCAGTCACGATGAGTGGCTCTTCTGACGGGACTCCTTGTGGAAACTCCGCGTCATCAAAGCTCAGATTGAACTTTGTCGGTGCGCCGACAGCCGCGCACTCCGTTGCACGCTCACGCTTGGTTTTTTTCTTGGGGCGATCTCCTTCAACTGTTACCACCCCGATCTCTTTGCGCACTACATACGCGCCTGTGTCGTCGTCGTAATCGGCTTGTGGGGGTGGGGGAGGGTGCTGCGGGGCCTCAACCTGCTCTTTCTTCACGTGAGTGAACTCGGTCAGTAAGCCCCGTCGTATGAGGCCCTCTATTTCGTACCGCAGCTCACGACAGTCCTCCGTCTGGTGCCCCGTTGCCCTGTGGAATTCACAATGCTTATTTGGATCGCGCATGTGTGGTTGGGACCTCAATGGGGCAGGCCAATTGAGCTTGTAGCCTTTCTCGCGGAGGACGTGGAACACGTTCCTCACGGAGTCGTTAAGCGGAGTGTAGGCGTTGGACGGACGCCTGTCTGGCGATCGCCCGCGATGCGCCTGCTCTGGTGGGGGAGGAGGGTTGCGCTTCGGGCCACTGTGCATCTGTAGCAATTGATCTCGTGGGATTGGGGTTGGAGGCTGTCGGCGCGCCACTTCCTCTCGCGGCATTTTTGCTAGTTCGAAGCGCCTGACGGATCCCGCCCCCAGGGTTTCTTCTAACGTGATTGCCTTTTCAATCTTCATTTCCAACTCTGTCGACAGCGTGACGGGCCTCTTTGCTAACGCCCGCTTGAGCTCCATATTATTGGTGGCCTCCATGAGGTGATGGGCGGCAGTTTCGGGGGTAAGGTCGCGGACGGCCATTGCTACCCTGGACCATCTGGCGTAGAAGGCTCTCAAGCTTTCTCCGTCTTTTTGCCTGATATCTATCAGGGCCTTGAAGTGGAGGGGGCGCCGCTTCTGGGACGCGAACTTTGTTGTGAACAGAAGTATGAACTCTTCGAACGAGCGGATGATTCCATTCGGGAGGCGGTTGTACCAGTCGAGGCATATTCCCGAAAAGGTTGACGGGAAGGTTCTGCACAGCGCCGCATTCGAGTTCGTTTGGAGTTGCATGCGCAAGCAGAAGGTGCTCACGTGGTCTTCTGGGTCGGTCGTGCCGTTGTACGTTGGGAGGATGGGTGGCGCTCCACTTAGGTGCTCCGCCATAATTTGTGCGCTCAACGGCTGGTGGAGAATCTTCTTGGGCGGGTTAGGTCGATATTGCGGGGACAGGTGTTGCTCCAAGAAGCTGAGGTCCGCCCGCCCTGGTAGTTCAATTCCCTGCGTTTCTCCCGCGGGGAATTCCGCTGGCGCGTGTCGTGGCGGTTGGGCGGTTCCGGACGCTTCTCCCACGGCTTGTTGAGGCGCGACCGCCGCTGCTTCTGCTGTTGGCGCGGCCTCCCTGCTCATCATGAGCGCGATGACCTGGCTCATTTGCTTCTGCATGTCGGCTATGACGTTGTTTTGCTTCGTCACTAGCTCCCTCATTTCTTCGCGCGTTGGTTCTTTCTATCCGCGCGCATCCTCACTAATATCTCCCACGTTGTGCCGCGCCTCGTTCCTTCGTGCGCGTCTTAGGTCGGCGCGCCTTACTTTGCATGGTTAGGTCCGAGTCACATGCCCAACACATATCTAACATTTGGACAAAGGTAAACCTTGTATTGAGATCAACTTTTATCATTCATATTTCTACTCCCTATGATTGAACCAAATTTATACATGACATCACTATAGTTTGAGATAATTTTGTCTATAGACCAAAATTTACCATTCCCTAATACCAAAATTAATCTATGTATCAAACGCCGCCGTTCGAGTAGCTTCCATGACGCCTAACTAGGGCTGGGCATGCGGGCGGATCATCCGCGGGTTTGGGCCGACCCACCCGCATTTGACCCGAATTTTGTTAAGTGGATGGGTCTGTGGGTGGGTGACGGGTTGCGCTGGGAGCCATCCGCCGGGTAGTGGGTGGGTTGTGGGTGAGTGTGCGGGTGACCCGCTCAACCCAACAGCAAAAAGATCAAAGTCGTTGGCGCTAGAGAGAGGAGAGTGGAGACGTTAGATATAAATTCGGACTACTCCTGGAGTTTGAACCTCAAAGCCAACCTTCCAAATAGAGATCCCCTCTTCTTCCCTTTACTTTTTCCTCTAATTCTTGTGCCTAGATCACCGCTCTTTCCTTTGTGGAATTATTTTCCTTAGTTCCTTGCACCTAATAATCGTCTCAATCTGTAGAAAACTCTTTCATAATAGAATTTCTATCCAATTTAAGAACTAATTCGACATTTTTCGTCCGATTTCAACTTCTTGTTTCCCTTGATGATTCTCTTCACCTATTATCATGTCAAGTTGACTCCTTTATATTATATACATTGTGATGTGGGTGAACCCACAAACCCACCCGCATCATCCACCATCCGCCCGACCCAACCCGAGACTAAATGTGGGTGGGTGGTGGGTTAAAAATTATCAATCCGTTTAAGCGCGGGTGGGTGCATTTTATGGTCAAAATCCACCCAACCCACCCAATGCCCACCCCTACGCCTAACCCTCCACAATAAAACGGCGCCATACGATGCTATTTTCGGGCCACAAAACAAAATAGCGCGAACGGTGAACGTGCCTTCAAGTTTCAGCGTCGAACCTCGAAACCCAGAAGGAAAGCGAAGCGCGAAGTCGAAGCTCCGGCGAAAAGTTGCAGTCTTGACTCTTGACGACACCCAATAGTCGCCGCCGCTGCTGCCCAACGATGTTTTACAGAGGGTACGCTCGTTTCCCGTTTCAGGATAATTCAACTCTTCCTAATTTTCTCCTGGGTTCTTCGTCGCTCCACCGCGCTATTTGTCTGTGCATATCGTCTGTTTGATTGGTGGTTGTCGCCCGTGTTTTTTTATTTTGGGGATTCTAGGGTTTCGAATTATATCGATCAAATTGAGGTGATTTTAGGTTATCTTGAGCTGTTAAACTTAGGTCTCGTCGTAGTTCTTAGTTACTTCCTTCCTTCTCAATTTAGCGCCACTTGTTCTTGTCTGTTCATGTTAGATGGGTAGGGATCACACAGACGCCTACCAAGATTCCATTGTCATTGTGGCTTCCAACCAGTGGCTGGAAATACACAGTAAGGGTTAACGTGATTGCAACTCCATATTAGATGGATAGTTTAGAGCTTTGGATTGCATGTGCTTGAATTGTATGGCCTGAGGCACTAAATTTCGATGCTATGTACTAAGTGGGCATTTTTTATTTATTGAGCATGACAGGTATGGCGATGGTTCAGGTAGCCGTGAAATGGGTGCAAAGCGGCAGCGGGTAGTTGACCAGGGCCCTTCATTCTTTGGGGCTACTCCAGCTGGGACGAGCTTCATGTACAACCAACCAACGTATGCCTATGTTGGCCAACCTCCACCTTTCCCTGTTGTGCGACTCCGTGGTCTGCCCTTTGATTGCACGGACAGTGATGTGGCCGAGTTCTTCCGAGGTCTAGACATCATAGATATCCTCTTTGTTCACAAGGGCGGTAATAAGTTCAGTGGCGAGGCGTTCTGTGTGCTGGGGTACCCTCTTCAGGTCGATTTCGCTCTCCAAAAGAACAGGCAAAACATGGGGAGGAGATATGTTGAGGTGTTTAGAAGCACGAGACAGGACTACTACAAGGCAATAGCAGGTGAGGTGCTAACCAACAATTCATTTCGAGTCTGCAACTATCCTGACATTATGTATTACTCTTAACGCTCAATGTTGTCTCTCTAATAGGTGAAGTATCGGAGTATCGCAGTGTTAGTTCACCAAGGCGAAGCTATGCACGAGCGAGATCATACGACGAGGGGAAGGAATCAGCGGAGCACACAGGGATGTTGCGGCTGAGGGGGCTGCCATTCTCAGCAGGGAAGGACGACATCATGGAGTTCTTCAAGGGCTATGGAGCATTGTCAGAGGGATCGGTCTACATACTAACAAATTCAGAAGGGAGACCCACTGGGGAGGCGTTTGTCGAGTTCGAGAGTGCCGAGGATTCAAAGGCGGCCATGGAGAAGGATAGGATGACACTGGGAAGTCGGTACATCGAGCTGTTCCCTTCATCGGCGGAGGAGTTGAAAGAAGCTGCGTCCAGAGGAAGGTGACTCATTGCACGATTGTCATTCTGCATTTTTTTCTGTTAAAGCTTAGCTTGATGATTGAGAATGAATGAAGTTGAATCAGATTCTTATTTTAGACTTAAGAGTGATGAGGTTATCCTTTTGCCATCTTGTGCCTGTATATGTTGTGGAGCTCTCTTTTGCAGTATTAGTATGGATAAACATTACATGCTCTGTTTTTTCTCGCCTTTCACAACCCATCAGAAGTTCGTCGTTCTTTGGTCGGCTGTTGCATCTCTGTTTTTAACTCTAGCAACCATAAGTCATATTACGAGATATCCATTGACAAGATATCCCCGTCTTTGTTACGAGAATCAAGGTAATTCAAGAAGACAATTTCGCTCCTATGTGGATGCAAGCAAACGCAGGCCAATCGCTCAATCTCATAATTGCAAACCCCGCAATAACGTTGTCTCCTTCAACAACACCTCACGCAATTTCCTCCAAGTATACTCGTTATCTTCTTCCAGTCTCCAAACACTCAGAGCATTCCTCGAACAACCGAAAGGTTCCGATTCGAGTAGAACCATATGCAAAGCGCCTTGTAAAACTGCAAAATGTTGATACGCAGCCTGTCTCCGTGGCATTGGAGTACGAGCACAACTAGGAGGGATATGAAGGCGGAAAGGATTAAACATGTCGAGAGCCGGAGGAGTTTCGAACCCATTTATCGCATACCGCGAGTGGAAAAAAAACAACTTCCTTATTGGACGAAACCACTACTCTTTCGAACACGCTCTGTTCTTGAGAGCAGGAGTCTCCTTGGTCCACTCACTCAACTCGCGGAACAAAACACGTCTAGTCCTTCGTCGACCCTACTCGATCGTCCTCGTTCGACACCTCAATACTAATACTAACCCGAAAAACGATATGAAGAGTAATCGAATGTCGTTGCTCGCCCGTCGACTGTCTCCTAGATCAAGACTAGTACAATGAACGGGTTCACAAACTAACCTCGGAGTGAACCTTATGCATGCAAGCTCTATTTATACTTGCGGCTGGCTGGTGTTTGGGGTTAGGATTTAGGACCGACTTTAGAGAAACGCCATCGTTTTATGTCTTTTTTTCATGTCATCTTGAATTGCAGTTTGTCATAATCTTCGAATTGACGAGACAATCGATCTACTACAAAACAACTGGGTTAGCTCGATAACTCATTCGTGAGGCGGCGGTGGTTGGGTTTGCTTTTTGCATGACCAAAAGACCCTAACAATTAGAGTTATTGTAATCTAGCGAGTTCTTGATATTATATTCGAGATTTTTGTGATCGAGATATATTTCGTTCAAATCTTTGTGACCCCTATCGTGGTAAGGACATATATATATATATATTGTGTGATAATGTCTGTGCAAACTTCAAACCGGTATGAATAAATTTTTATTTAAGAGGGCGTATTAATATGCAATATAAGATCAATTATTATACCTCTCTCAAGATAATTTAAGATGATAATTTCAAGCATATGTTAGATGAAAATATGTTAGAGACATATGATATCAGAGCTGGTTTGGTCAAGTGGTCGTGTGTTGGAATCTCCACGACCCCAATATTAACAGTTGATTAAAACATAAGGTATGACGATTGTCTGTGCAAACTTAAAGCCCGTGAGTTGGCTTTCGTTTAAGGGAGCGTGTTAGAGAGTGATATAAGATCTGGTTTAATTGAAATACGACCAAAACATTCCTTGTGAAATTGAAATACGATAAATAGTTAATGTCCTTGTGACCATAGAAATGGAAACAAAAATAGGATGTACAAGATAGAAATGACTAATCACATCAAGTAGGGTATTGATAGTGGTTACCATGGTAACCATTTTAATTAGTAGTGTTAAGATAATTTGATTTGATTAATTTGAATAATTGGTTTGGCTTGACCAAATTTTTAGCTTGTTTGATTAGTTTGGTTTCACACACTTCTAACTAATCAAATCAATTAATCATATATCTAATATATTATATGCTCATACTTCATAACCGCTCAAAAGTGAAGTGTTCTTCCCTTTTGGACCCATCAAAAAATAAAACTCAATATTATTCACATACTATATTTGTTCTTGTAGAGCGTAGACAACACCTAATTTAGATAAATTTTATACATTATGTTGGCTGAAAACTCGAAAGGGGACGACTCTTTCACCCTTGCTAAGATACTAAAACAATATAATTCACACAGACACACCAATTCATTGATCTCATACCATTCACATGTATTTTTGTTAGGAGGCTATTAGTATTGACTCTAAGCTAATTGTATCAGTTGCATGTATTTATGTTAAGAGTTAACTATGTGTTGATTGATATATTTTATTAATTATATATATTACGAATTGATGCGTTAAGAAGAGAATTTTTCTCGTATAATGATAATGCCATGTTATATAGGTTAACTCGGTTAACCAATTAACTAGATCAATTAAAATTTAATTTGGTTAATTTGATTTTTGTATCAGTTTGCTCAATTGGATTATGATATTGTATTCCATAGTTAGTAAATTTAAACTTAATTAATTTGATAATTATCATAACCATTGAATATCGCAAAAAGATGAGGTTTTAGGTGGATTATTGTTCACACCGGTCCCTCAACTAGTCAGTAGTCACTATGCAAAGATAACAAACCAGTCCCGTTCTATTTTCTTAATGAAAAAAAAGTCGGAAAGAAAACAATTTGAACTCCTGTGGGCAATCCAATCAGCCCCGAGGGCGACGCAGTGAGGCGAGCATCTGATTTGAGCTTCCGATCAATGGCGATTCGGATTCTCGGAACACGGTCCAATCACCATTATATCACAGCAGCTTCAAAATTGCTTCCAGTCGAAGGAGGTCTCCGTTTCCTCAGCACGAATCCCGGTTCCTGGAATCAAACTGACTACAGGAAACAGATTTCTCTCGCCAATCTCCTCCAGAGGTACGGCTTCCCTCCTTCTCAGCTCCAGAATTTCCTTAGTAGAAACCGGTTCGTCCTGAATTGGAACTTGCAAGACGTTGAGAGGTCTCTGGGCATCCTCTTGTCTCTCAAAATCCCTCGCAAGTCTCTCGTTTCTCTGGTTAGTGACTGCCCAGGGGTTCTGGATTTGAAGTTTTTGAAGAAATGGGAAGTGGGGTTTTCGAACTGTGGGGAAGTAGCCGTTTTTAACCCTTCGGTGATCAAAACTGTTTTGGAGCTTTCGAGGAAGTTTAGTCTTGACCCTGGTGGGTTTAAGAGCAGGTTAAGGGTTTTGAAGGGGTTAGGGTTTAGTGAAGGTACAATCAGGAGAACTTTGGAGGGTTCCCCGCGGGTGATTATGATGAAGGAAAGTGAAGTACATAAAAGGGTTGAGTTTCTTTCGAGGATTGGGATTGGTAATGATGGGGTGGATTGGGTTCTATATTCATTTCCAGAGGTACTGGGTTTTGGAGTTGAGAACAGGCTAATGCCATTACTCAATGAGTTCGAACAACTGGGTTTCAACCAAGAACTAGTAAGGAAGGAGATTCTTGCGGTACCTCGAATTTTGGGGATGGAAGTAGGAGAACTATCGAAGTGTTTGGATTTGCTGCGGAGTTTGAAATGCAGAGAACCGATTAAGCTGAAGATCTTCAGTAATGGAGAACTCAGAGCTGGCTTTGATGTGAAGCTTCGAATCGATTGCTTATGCAGACATGGGTTGACTCATCGAGAAGCATTCAAAGTCCTGTGGAAAGAGCCACGGGTGATTGCTTATGATTTGGAGGAGACTGATAAGAGAATTCATTACTTAGTGAACACAATGGGATTCAACGCCCGTTGCTTGGTCGAGGTTCCCGAATTTTTAGGTGTGAGTTTTGAGAAGCAGATTGTTCCACGGTACAATGTGATTCAGTATTTGCATGCAAAAGGTGGACTTGGGGATGAGGTAGGACTAAAAGATATCATAAAGCCGAGCAGGCTTAGGTTCTACAATTTCTATGTGAAGCCATACCCAGAGTGTGAAAAGTTATATGGAAGGTTTTCTGGAGATGTTGTCAAAGGTTCAAAAAGCCAACATCCAGTTGGAATGTGGAAGCTTTTCAAATCACCAAGCTACTCGGATTCAAAAGAAGATGTAACGAATATGAGGTTGTTTATGGACTCTTTGAGTTAGTCCAAATAGACTAATCCCTAACCAACTTGGAAGTCTTGGACTTGGTTTCCTATTCTCCTAGAATGAAGAAGCACCATTTTGAACCCCACAGTTTTCTGCATCTTTTCAATGGGGCAATTTGTCGGACTGTCTGCAAGATAGACGGTGTCCTAATTCCAGGAATGTGGCTGACAGAACTTTTACTTTCTAGGCCATCCATGGCCTCAGTTATGTCCACCGCATACAACAAATTAGGTAAGATAGAGGATTTAAGTTTCTTGGTTTTGCCTCTCAGTGAAACTGTGACTAAATGCTGATGTCTCGTCTTATGATGCAGGAATCAGGATGCAGAGTGTTCACAAACTGTGACTTAATGCTGGGATTTTTACTTGAATTCTTCATTGGCTAGGCTATCACTAGTTAAAGGCGTGGACAATTATTCTGCATCTCAGACCATTCTGCTCTATTGTGTCCTGCTTCTTTCATGCTGATACTGCATGCCTCAAGCCCAAAGAATTGCTGAACTTTGTCAGAATTGTACCAGGAACCATTATAACCTGTGAAATGTGCTGGATCTGGCAAGTTGCTGACACTGGAGAATTGGAGACCTCGGTAATCTACTTCGAACGCATTCATACGACTGTTAGTTTCTGATATGTAATCAGTAAAACTTCTGCGTCTGCTTGATCAATTGGCGCATCAATGTATTTTCCTTCATTAATCAGAAGAAAATTTGTTAGGCTTTGCCAGACTTACCTCTCATTTTACCCTTGTTCTATGTTATCCCTTTTGGTTGGTGTCGGTTTCCTAACTGTTTGAAAAATCAGTATGCATCACAAACACTGGTTTACCAAAAGTCATTGCAAGAACAATGTCCATTCCAGAAATGAATATGATGGAACCTGTTAGTGTCCCTAACATAACAATATTTTCTTTTCCCTCCCCTCAACAGTAGAGACACAGACTTCATAAATGAATGACAATCCCCACAAATCCTGAGATACTTCAGGATCATGATTGGTATCTCCTCAGGCAAGCTCATGAGCCCGAAACAAACAGCGAGTATGAACCTTGTCCTTGATCTCAACCCAACTCTTAATGACCACACCCTGACAAAACCGAAATATAAGTGACTTCATCTGGCTCCAGACCGGTCTGCTGCATCTTCTCGAACAGAACCATCACCTCCAGGAACTTCGATAGCTGCTTACTGCGTTAATTAATGGATTTCGCCATTGACGGCTCTCCTATTGCACTCTCTAGATATGTACCTGCTCTCAAAAGGGTTTAATTTAAGCTTGGAGAGATTGCCAATTCAGTATTGAAAACAGAAACACCATTTTTCTTCTTTTGCATTCAACGGATAAGACACAACTTAACCATTTACTATTGCTATGAGATCGTACAAACTGTGAAGTCTTGGTAAATATAAACATAAGAGGTGCAGCAGGCAAGCAGACATGCCTGCACAAGTCAACCCTCTGGGGATGAAGAAAAAGGTGGCCAAGTAATGGTGACCCTATATATAAAAAAAAAACAGCAACTACTTTGATATGGATACTAGGCTGCAGTATTCTGGTCAACTGTTGACTCTGTTCTGGATCCTTGTAGTTGCCTCCTCACTAGTGCTGTGTAGACTCCATTCTTGCTGAGTAGCACTTCATGTCCGCCGCTCTCAACGATCTGTCCACCAGAAACTACTGCAACAGTGTCGGCACTTTGGACTGTTGATAGCCTGTGAGCTATGACTAGGACAGTTCTTCCGGTCATCAGAGAATCCATTGCATCCTGCAAGAAATAGGAAACCAAGTTCACCATTTTGCTTCAGGAAAAACTAGGAACCTAGGGACTGTTAGGTAATTGTGAGTCTGCATTTGAATCTTGGTACCTGGACTAGGTATTCACTCTCAGCATCCAGAGCACTTGTGGCTTCATCGAGGAGAAGAATCCTGGGGTTCATAAGTAGGGCTCTGGCAATTGCTATTCTTTGTTTCTGGCCTCCAGACAGCCTTATCCCACGCTCTCCTACATGAGTTTTGTACTTATCGGGGAAGTTCGACACAAACTCATGTGCATTGGCCATTTTCTGCAATTTTCGGGATTCATGTTAATCCTGCTGTCAGAATATCATTGCGGCAGGAACAAAAGAGAGATAGAGAGACTTACAGCTGCATTTTCTATTTCAGAGCTGCTTATGTTTCCGTCACAGCCATAGGCTATGTTTTCCTCTATTGAACAATTGAAAAGAACAGGCTCTTGGCTCACTATACTGATCTGTACCAGCAATAAAGAAGTTTGTTTATACTTGAGAAAGTTCAGAAGTAATCGAACTTCAAGCACAAAGTAGCTGTATTATTTGAATACTTCATATAGAGAAAAATGGCGTGATGCTATACATCCAAGTTGAATCTACCTTTTTGTGAAGATGTTCGTGGGCTATTTCAACCAGAGGAACTCCATTTAGGAGAATCTTGCCCTTTGTTGGATCATAGAACCTTTCGATCAAGTTTGCTATTGTGGTCTGCAGCAAGGAAAACAACAACTCTTTAGACTTCAGTTAATTTTACAGCATAAGCAATGTGACGATAATGAGAAACAGCACAGTAACTTCAAAGTCCAGAAAGAAACTTACTTTCCCTCCGCCACTAGGTCCCACAAGAGCAACTTTTGAGCCAGGCTGAAGTTTCAATGATATTCCCTGAAGTTCAGAGTTTTATGAAGGGTTTAGAATCAGGCAAGGAAGATGCACATTGATCAACTGAACTGTAGTTCAAAGAATCCAATTACCTTGAGTACCATATCGCTAGGACGGGATGGATATGCAAACCAGACATCATTTAACTCCACTTCACCAACTTGATCACTGCAGTAGAAAGCATGCATTTATAAGTTCTACAACACTACCAGCAGGTAAACAAGGAGTTGGAGCAGAGTTTCATTTTGGAGAATAATCTCATGAAATAAGGATGAACCACTCAATTGCATGACCCAGGAAGAAGAGAACCATTGCGAACTCTAATGATCGGCAAATTTTATCTAAATACAAAAACATATCCTGCTCATCTAGTCTTTCCTTCACACTGATTCTTATCTTTTTTTCTCTTCTCTTCTTCTCTTTTCTTTTCTTTTCTTTTCGAGAACGGAGGTTTATGGTTAGAGCAATAAATTGGTACTCTAGTTCATGTTGATATTTAAGACATTCAGACAAACCCAAAGGGGTGGATATTTGATGACTAACCCTAAAGGACATTTGTCTCCTGATTTTGGCATGGTTGAGGTCCGATCCAGAAGCTGGAAAACCCTCCTACTCGAACCAGCCGCTTTCATTGCCACTGTGTACAAACTTGATAATCCTGATATAGAATATCCAACTACAAGTGGAAAACAAAATCAATACAAGTCGTAGGAACTTCCATTTTCTTAATTGACTATTACTGTTAACCTATTTTAATAGGCTCTGGAAATCACCTGTCAAGCTGTATAGAAGGAATGAGGTAAGAGCACCAGCAGTCATATAGCCTTTGATAGTTAAATTAGCTCCATATATCACCACAACAATAACTGATAGTGTTTCTGCTGCATTCATTCCTCCACTGAAGAGCCCAACAACTTTCTGCAGCACCAAATGACCAAGATAAAATTATGCCAGCAAGAAACGTCAACAAAAAGTAGGACTGGTGGAAGGAGGATAGCAAAGATGGTACTACATTAGAATAATAAGGAACTCACAGCTTGTTTAAGTCCAAGGTTCAGTGTCACGTCAACTTTCTCACAGTAACGTGACTCCTCGTAAGCTTCTTGTGCAAATGATCTAACAGTCCTTATGGCACCAAAAGATTCCTGACCACACAAGTCATAAGAGATACATATAACTGGGATAGTTTACTTATATGATGGCAGACAAGTACATTTTCCCATGATTGAGTAGTAGTTTTGATAAAATATCACTCCTTTAGATTTCTTTTCACCTTTCCAACTCTTTCACTGCCGATAGATGAAAGAAATTAGTAACTAACAATAGCTCTCAGCACTTACCTCAACAATTGAAGCAGCAGCTGCCGCTGCAGCTTGAGTCTTGTGAGAAAGTTCACGCAGGAAACTGCCGAATTTTCTTACCGCCATAGAAATAACAGGTACAACAACCAAAGCCAACACTAAGCACAGATGAAGACAAGTTGTACATCGTGAGCAAGACTGTAGTTGTAAAGAGTTGAAGTGATATGGTGGCAGTGGTCAGAGATCTCACAGGTTAACTTCCAGGATGTTGAGAACATAAAGAAAAGACCAATAACTGCAGTCGACACGTTCCTCAGTGCCTCACTAAGACTAGCAGTTGCAGCATTCTTTATGATTTGTGTATCTTCGGATAAGCGGCTCAGTAGTTCCCCAGTTCTAGTAACATCAAAGAAGGCTATTTCCTGAAAAGCTTGTCATTTCAATGTCAGAAGTAACTATGATGAAGAAAGCAAAAAGCTATCCACGGGTACGTTCAGTCAACTAAGTACTGTTACTGAGAGCCATAAGACATTAGTTCCTACCAATTTCAGCAATGATACCTGGTTAATAAGGTGACTGAATAAGCTCTTTCTCAAACGTGCAACCACCCGTTCACTAGTAGAAGAAAACAACCATGCCCGAAGAGCTGTGCAGACAGAGCTACATGGAACAAAAGTTAATTTAACAACCATAAATTTTAACTCTTGCGCAGGTCAGAAATTATACGAGCAGTACATTAAACAATACAGGTAATAAAGCCTTTACCGGGTTTCTTTAGTGTTACAAACATATGGATCGGTCAAGTACAGTAATGGAGTGCTTGTTTGCAGATTCATTGTGTGATCTTATATTTAGCTTCTTCTCAGAACGATAGGAAATTATGGTTAACTCTGAACTTGAGAGACAACCATATGAATTAAACCTTCAGCTGGCCTAAAAATTACAGAAAGCGCATAACAAAAGAAATCCATACTCTACAACAACGATCACAAAGATTTCTAGTATGGTATTGTTCACAGCATTTAGAGCATCGTTCTTCTCTTGAGGTGTGCCCAAATCTCCTGAAACGATGTCTACTATCTTGCCACCATACTTGGGCTGGAGAGTCACCAAAACAAACTTATTCACAACAAAGAAACGTCTCATCCGAAAAGCAAACGGTTGCTATTAACTAGATGATAGATGGTAAAACCAGATTTCATCCTCACAATGAGAATGCCTGATGTGGCGGCAATTAGGAGAGCTATTGTAGCAAGAATCATCTTCCCTGCATCAGGTTTTACCTAATAGACGACTCCCCATTAGAAAAAATTTATATTTCTATTCTTAAGCTGTTTCTACATGACAACTAGCAAATGGTAGACACTTACAAGTGCAAGAACTCGCCCGAAGCTGACATTTGCGGCCTGAAGATTCACATGGAAGATCAGCAGAGCAGGTCCTTTCATAATAACCATGTAATGGAAGATTTGTAAGAGAAAATTCATCTTACCTGTACAGCATCTCCATGCTCCAGGTCTGACAATCGATCGTTCCCCTCAGGATCATTCCTCTTTCGTCCCTCCTTCAGCCAAAAAAAAAAAAACATACATCAGACGAGGAGCTAAAACTAGAAGAAGAAGCAGAGACGTTCCAACACGCGATCACTTCATTCATCTCGTGAACGGTTACAGTTGACCATCATCTGTATCAAAAGATCAGAACTTTGGCAAATGCATATATTGAAAACCAAAACCCATTTCATCGAACACCTGACGAGCACAAAAAAAAAGTGATCCAAAATGTTCACTCCAGAAACCATGGGGTGGCAATGGGTAAGAAAGCTGAATTGCAAAAGCTTCAATTCAGTATTCACCCCGGAAACCACATACTATATATAAAAGGAAGCAACAATTTCAAAAACTCCGAGCGCAAGCAAACCTCAGGAAGCTGAATCAAACGTCAAAATGACAAAGTGAGACTTACTCCGCGAGATAACAGAGGCGTCCTTTCACCACCGGCATGGCCGCCAACGGCTTGCATCCTTTAAACCCAAACTTGTGGCCGAAGATGGAAGCGAAGAAGCACAACAACAACAACAACAACAACGCCCACAAACGCAACAAGTATGTTTGGGTTTCTTTCTTAGTAAGAGTTGGAGGCTCCAATCCTTAATATAGGCATGGAGGAAGAAGTTAGATGCAGGAACGGCTTTCCTTTGGGTCGTTCGCGATGAGAATGGGAGTTCGGACTTTGGCGCCATTGCTAATTGCTCTCTCTCTCTCGGCACTTACGACTTGAGATGGCAGAGTGGAAGAAAAAGAAAGTGTGTGGAAAATGAGGGAGTCTTTCTTTTCGCATTTTAATTACGTTCTTTTCTCTTCTTTGCGAGGAGAAGAATGCAGAGTCGCAGAGATATTATTATTGTATATAATGATGACGTTGCTTGCTATCGTCAGCACGGACGTGGCATGAAAATTGAAAGTCAAATTCTGGGCCGTTGGATTCAATTGTCTCGGGGCCAAAAGCCCAAATACTCCAATCAGGTCCGGGCTTAATAACGGGATTTTCATTTTTCGCACAAATATACAATAATATATAATTACATATTAGTTGTAACCTACCGTTTTATACAATAATAATATTTTTTTCTATATATTTTGAGAATAAGAATTTTCTGATAATTCCTTATAAAAGTTGTTGTACATTTTCGTAGGTGTCGCAGGTGCATTTTCATAGAGGTCATAGACTTATACTATCCTAGGGTAGGGTTGGTAGGCAGTAACAATTTGAACCCGTCATGCGAATATTATTCGATCTGATACAGTGGCTGAGGGAGGTGAGGAGTAAGACTTCACTTGGCAAAAAATTGGGCAACAAAATCCTTTAGAGACGTAGGGTTTAGTACAATCCTTCAAGTTTAGGACTCCATACTCTAAACGATGTTAGATTACCAAGGACTCCAATCAACTAAAAATTCAGTGGATACACATGTTTAGTGTTAGTAAATTTTTAAGAACCCCAGTGAACTCAAAATCTGATTACGCCACTGATTTGATATGTGATGGGGCAGATATTACCTCAAATTCTTACAGTAATTATTTATATGTCTCATATTTTGACTTTTGTTCAACTAGTTAGACTCGACATTTCAACTAGTTAGATTTAATTACCCGTTCTACTATCACTACTTTTTATTCAGAAAGTGTTTTCCCCTCCGTTTTATCGTAAGAAGTAAAATTTTGCATGATTTTTTCATATAACATGTAAAAGTGAGTCGACCCGCCCCGTCTCGTACCCTCACGAGTATTACTAAGCTCCAGACCGTAGTAGCGTGAGGCGGTACATGGGTATTGAGGTACCCACCCGTCCCATCGCAATCACTAGTCGTAGGTGGACATCGTAGGGTCACGGTTCTATTAAAAGTTTATTAGAAAGTAAATTGTTGAACAAAACCCTACATTGAAAATTGATTTAGACTAATTTGTACTAAATGGAATTATACATAAGGTTGGGTAAATCAGCTTATTCAGCTAATCCGTTCGAGATGTGAGAAAATTCTAGTTTGGTTTTATAATTGAGTCGGGTCAATGTCACGTTTGATAATTGTATTTATTAAAACGTGTCACGTTTAGTCACTATAAAAAATTAATATCAGTTTTCGTCACTCGAATTACTGAAACATATTATATTTAGTCACTCTACGTTAGTCTCCGTCCAACTCCGTTAATGGAGTCTGGTATGTGCTGACATTGCTAACAGGAGCGCCTAATCAACGCCGTTTTGGGCCGGAAATGGTGAAAACCTGACCCGCCACATCACTAAACCCGCCATGTATTTAAATCACTTGTTGAAATGTATTTAAAGTTGACAAGTAATACACTAGACATGTATTTGGAAATCACCCCAATCCAAATATAAAATGTAATGAATATCCAAACAAATGATTTACACAAATACCAAATCTAAATCATTCTATCCAAACACGAATTCTCCAAACACAATAATCCTCTCTCCTTTACGGCATACATGCTCTCTCAATGGAAAAATCATAGCTTGTTTTCAATAACTGCCACTGCTCAACAGCTCAAGTGCTCATGGTTCTGTCCCTTTGGGGACATCCGACAAAAACAAAAAAAGAGTGCTCATGCACATGCACATGCACATGCACATGCGGTACGACATTCTACGTTTTAGCACGATATCGAGAAGTAAAGAAAAGAAAGTGAAAACACTAACAAAGTAGAAGTAATTTACCATTTTATCTCCGCCGGATATATTCATTTTGCATTGCCTGAAGCAAATAGTTGTAGGTTTCATCGTACGCTCCTCGCACTCGCAGTTCCTCGTACCTTGGAATCAGAGTAGGCCAACAAGAAACCTTAGGTTGGACAGCCTTCCAACCTCGACGATACATATCAACAAACCCCACCTTTCCTGTCCCCGTCAAATCGCAGGACAAAATAAACGCCCTCTCACGATCACCGCCGGCATCATCAAAATATAAGAAAACAATTTCAGGCCTCTGGGGGTGCAGGCCAACTCTGAAACACTGCTTGAGGTCGTAACTGCACACCGATGATGTCGACGACACCGTCTCCTTCAACAAAACCTCGTGCAATTTTCGCCAAGATTCGCCATCTTCTTCTTCCAGTCGCCAAACAGTCAGGGCATTCCTCACACAACCTTTAGATTGCACCTCCAACAAAACTATGTGCCAACGACCCCGCGAGGCCGAAATGTGTCGTACAGTCGGTTTCGAAAAGACCACGGAATCGCGAGTAGATGTGACATGTAGATTAAGAGGGAAAGGATTCACCACAACAAGTACTATATAGCTGATCAACTCGTCTCGTTCTACTGGATATGCACGAAATATCGTCCCGCCATTGCGTGGATTTGTTTTGGTCGGTACCGAACTACTCGTGTTCCGAACAAGAGCATTCCTGGTCCACTCTCCCGACTCCGAACAAAACACGTCTGCTACAGAATCCGCGTGCACTAGATGCATGCACAGCACTCGGAAGCGATACTCAGAATAAGAATGAGAATCATCTCCTCCTCCACCACCACCGTCTTCTGGTTCAAGGCTAGTAGTATTAACAGGTTCACAAGCTAACCGAGCGAGGAAAGCATTCATCATACTTGGCCTCTCAGGAGCCAGAGGAAGGGCGATCCATTGCTTTGTGAACGGATTGCAGACCAAGTAAGACCTCCCCAATCCTTTCCTTACGCTGACGCCATCGCCCCCAAACCCGCACAGAAGCAAGTCCTTGAAGGAATCCAAGATCCTGAAATCCGGTCCGAGTTCGTCGGGGACGGGGAGGAAGCTGAGGGAGGGGAAGTGCTGGCGGAACGTTGATGAAGGGGGAGATGGCGTGACAATCAATGGCGGTGTTGAACCTTCGTTGATGCTCTTGTGGTGAGAGACGAAGCGGCTGTTGAAGATGATGGGATCGGAGATCAGAGAGTTCCAATGCTTGCAGACGAGCTTGCAGCGGCAGGCGGGTCTAGGGTTTGGGAAGCTGCGGATGAGAATCTCGACGAGGAGATCGTCTCCCAGTTTGTTGATCGCCGCCATCGTTGGAGGAGGAGGAAGTAGGGCTATTGGTTCGTCCACGGTTAATAGGAGGAGATCAAAACCCTAATGCTATTGGTTCGTCCACGGTTTCCTAGTCTGATTAGGATTTGTGAATGCAACTTCCCGGGGACAACGTCTCATTTGTATACATACAACGTATTGATTTCAAATTACTTAAAATGGATAGTTTCGTATGATAATTAAGGCCGTGATATTGAAATTATTTTTCAATTTTTTAAAATACTTAAATAAATAGATGTGATTGACATTTGGACCAGATCAAATCCGACCAAATACACTGTTGGTCCTCTTATTATTGGTCCTAATTAATTAAGATGTCTTTTTACTGCTGGATTGCAGTTCTCATGAGTTCGTCTGATCTGAACTAGACCGGACTGTTGCACACTTGCACGCATCGAGAGGTGTTCAAAGAGAGTTAGTTTGGTGTCCATGGCGTTTTTGTGAGAGAGTTAGTTGTTGAATTTCCCACGATCGAGAGGTGTTCAAATATCTCCAATCAAAGTACTTGGCGAGAGTAGTTCCAAACTTTTTTTTTTTTTTTTGTAGTTTACTACTTACATCCATCTCAAACAAAACGTAAGAGAAAATGTGTCCTAATTAACCTATATATCGAAATATGATTTTTGATATGTGTTCCTTCGAAGACCTTTAATAAAATCGCCATGATACACAAAAACATGCACTCGATGTAGAACAAATAAAGGGAAAACTCGTTGCGATAGCAAGTGGCAAAAATCATCATAGTTTGTTTTTAGTACATGTAGAGTGTGAATAAAGTAAAAGTAACCAACCCAATTTTAGTGCTCATGGTAATTCCAACACATGTGGCAAAAATCGAAATTCAATTTCAAATGAACTAATATATATACCCACCATTTTCATTTTACATATTTTCCAAGCTTCCCTGTGTTTGCACCATTTACATCCAGATCCATTCCTTTTGCTGTGCCTGAAGCAAATAGTTGTAGCTCTCATCGTACCCACCTCGCAATTCCTCGTACCTCGGAATCAAAGTAGGCCAGCAAGACACCTTAGGTTGGAAGGCCTTCCAGCCACGACGATATTCATCAACAAACTCTACCTCTCCGGTCCCCGTCAGATCGTACGACAAGATGGACACGTTCTCACGATCACCAACCTCGTCGAAATACAGGTAGACGATCTCGGGCCTCTGCGGATGCAGACCGACTCTGAAACACCGCTCGAGCTCATAATTAGACGATACAACAGCCTCCTTCAGCATCACCACCTCGTGCAGTTTCCGCCAGGACTCACCGCCTTCTTCCAGTCTCCAAACCGTCAACGCGTTCCTCGAACAACCTTTGGGCTCCAGTTCCAACAGGACCACGTGCAGAACGCCTTGCGAGACCAAAATCCGCAGTATAGCCGGATTCGGAAAGACCAAAGAACCGTGATCGGTGGTACGCGTACGATGCGCGTCGAGAGTGAACGGACTCACCAGAAAGAGCGTTAGAAAGCTGAGATTCACGTCGTAACGAGGTACTCTGTTGATTCGTGTGAATTCGTAAAAAATCCTCCCTCTGCATGGTTTTTTTATGATTTCGTCCCCGAGGGGACGATCGAGAGCCTTACTGGTCCACTCTCCCGACTCGGAACAAAACACGTCCGCTCTCATTTCTCTGTGTTGTTGTAGATACATGCATACCACTCGAAAGCGATACTCGAAATAATGAGATCGAAGACCACGACGATCCCCTCCTCCTAGATCAAGAGTGGTAGAGTTAACGGGTTCGCAAGCTAGCCAAGCGACGAACGTATCCGTCCCACCAAATGGCCTCTCGGGGGCCAGAGGAAGGGCGACCCATTGCTTCGTAAACGGATTGCAGACCAAGTAAAATCTCCCCAACAATCCTCTTGCTTTGTCAATTCCGTCGCCCCAAAACCCGCATAGAAGCAAGTCGTTGAAGGAATCCCAGACTCTGAAATGCGGGCCGAGTTGGTCGGGCACGGGGAGGAAGGTGAGGGAAGGGTAGTGGTGGCGGAAAGTCGTTGAGGGGGGAGATGGCGTGACGATGAATGGCGGCGGTGATGCTTCGTTTGAGGTCTTGTGGTGGGCGACGAAGCGGCGGTTGAAGATGACGGGATGGGAGATGAGAGAGCGCCACCGCTTGCAGACGAGCTTGGAGCGGCAGGCGGGTTTAGGGTTTGGGAAGCTGCGGATGAGGATTTCGACGAGGAGGTCGTCGCCCAGTTTGTTGATCGCCGTCATGGTGCGAGGAGGAGGAGATTAGGGTTTGGTTGAGTACCAACCAATTCCGACGACGTTAAGGCGAAGGAGGAGATCAGAGCGCTAATGCTATATATAATGTTGGTTTGCCGGTGTCCTAGTCCGATGAGGATTTAGGAATGCAACTCCCGGGGGGACGGTGTCGCGTTACCGTTGTCATGTCATCTTTGGGTTTCGGATGACTAAACGATCGATGTACATATTAACTTTTAAAGTGAGTCCTGGATCTTTGAATTTAAGGCGATTTATAAAATTTAGATTTAATGGTTGTGAATTAAATGCAATTTATTTTCCATAATTTTTTTTAATTGGTTTATATCTTTTTCGTTCTATTGAATTTGAATTTTTTTTTCCACACATGGAATGAGTTCGTTGTGCTTAGGGTAATGAGTCAAGCTATTCGTAAGCGGCTCGATCTCGAACTCGATAAAAGCTCGTTCGATTAAAAAAAAGCTCTACCTTGTTCGGCTCGCGAAGCTCGTGAACTAGCTCGATTAGGTGGCTCGTTTAATACAACTCATGAACTGTCTCGTTTTGAGCTTATGAAGATGTCCCAACATTGTGACTAGAGAGCTAACTCGACTACAGCTTATGAGAAAATCAATCTATATTTTATGAATTGGTTTGTTAATGATGCATATAATTATTAAATTATATATATCACCTCATATGGTGTTTACTACATTGAGTATATGTAAGCAAATACGTCTCATATATGACATAACATTAGGTAATCACTGGTATCACATATGACATATAAATATTAGGGTATTTATATTATAAATTATCTTAGAGTTGAGCTCGACCCGAACTTTTGATCTTAACGATGTGTCAAGATTTAATAAATGAGTTGGCTCGTGTTCGACTCGACTCGGCTGGTTAATAAATGAGTTGGGACGAGCTCGGCTCTTATAAACGAGCCGAACATGAACAAGGCAAAACTCGACTCGGCCTGGCTCATTAACAGCCCTAGTTGTGTTTATAAAGTGAGATCCATTTTCAATATTTTTTAAGAAAAAAAAATTTCATATCTCTTGACAAGTTTATCATGATCTATTGGATTCACAAATATATGAGGAAAACGAATACACCAAAAAATAGCACACCATTGACCATACCACCCTTGGTATAGGGGTGATATCTTGTAGTACATAATGTTGAAAGTCGTAAATGACTGTTAGTATACTTCTACTATCATCTATTCAACCATCTTACAGTCTGATAATGTTCATACCACCATGGTACGCTTTTATATCATATGACATGTTCTTATTTAATACCAATCAATACCACCATGGTATAAATTGATAATAAAATGCCTTAATTTTTGGTTCCGAATATATTAAGTGGATATATTTTGAAGAGTACAATTAATCTGATTTATATATACAAAAAATTAAATTTCAACTTAGAACGAGAGAGAAAGTGTCCGTAAAACTTAAAAATTGAAGTGATAAATATTAAAGGTCTTCCATAAGTGGCAGAGGGTGCTGATGTATGTGGCGGCTGGTGGTTAGATTATGCATGTTATTGACAAGTAGGTTATTGAGAGGTTCCGTTCCCACTAGTTTTGTGTCCGACCTATTGGCCGAAATATTAGTTAAAATGATTTGAAATGCTTAATTTACTATGACAGCTAAGGTGACATTGAAATTATGATAACCTTTCAGCAATGACCGAACATTATATTCTTAATAGTCATAGCACACATAAATAACCATTCATGACATGTCTATTTAATGATGCAAATAACCCGAACCACGGCGAGTGTGTGATTGGTGTAGGTCGATTACAGATTGATAAATCTTCTACCTGCAATTATTCGAGTTGGTGGTGGGTGGGTTGTGGCTCGCCTGAATGACCCACATCCTATTCCACAAGAAAAAAAATGTTATGCCTTGTTTATACTATATATTATATAATCATCATATTTCCTAACCGCACTATACACTGACAATCGACTTCTAAATTCGGAGAATAAATAAAAAATTTCAACATTATTGGTTACTATGTTGTGTATATGTATGAGATATTGATATGCAAATTATAAACTATTAATTATATGAAAGTCACAAAAAACGTCAATATTTTCTAAGAAATTGGCTGGAGTGACGAAAGATCAAATGCAAATAATCAAATACTAGCGGATCCACATGATATAAAGTGAGAGGTGTCTAATTGCTGCAATCTTATTAATTTGTAATAAAATCATTATAAATGTTAGTTAACTTGCTTAATGTCCAGTTAGAGGATTGCTTTTGATGTTAACTCACAATCCAATTGCACCTCCCACCACTCCCCCAACTTATCCAGAAGAAAAATGTGGTTGGATAACAGATAACATTGTACCAACTAACTAATAAGCGAATAAGTCAATTTGATACTAAAATCCACCCAGCCTACCCCTAGCTAGTAGTCCAAGATATCCTTGATCCCATGCACATGGAACAAAACGATGGGTGGTTGCGCAAAAATCTCATGATCTAAATTGTACGTGATTTTAGCGGTACGAATAGGTTGAACCACAGTTCTACCACAATTTTAATATGAAAATACCCTATATCACTAACTCGGTAAAACTTCTGGTACGGTTTCACAATCGTTGGCGATACGCCCGACAACCATGTGAAAATACAACCGCAACTCATACATGGTGGTGAATTCTATAGTGTGTGTTTTTCTTTATAAATGTGGTGAAATCTATGCTCATTATAACAGTAAATAAATAACATGCATATACACTTACTTAGTTGAATTTATCCATATAAATTGCATACACCTAGCAAGCTAACTATTTGACTTTTGCCACTGCAACATCATCGATATTCTCCTCCTTCCAATGCAAAATCCAAACTCAAAAATGGCGCCTCCTCTTTTAACTGATTCATTCTTCTAGCTTATAATACAACGAACGTGAAGGGGAGCATTAAAGAATGTGAAACAGAGCATCCCAATAATATTTTCACACATAACATGACAAAACAAATTGCAATTAGCTAGCTAGGGCTATAAAAACTAATTAATTAAGATAGATTAAATTTTTTAGTTTAGTGCATGAAAGTTTGAAATGAATGAGATTGTGGATTAACGAGGCAGCCTCCACGTGGGGATTCCCTTTTCTAGGATCCCCTGCTACCGCTAGACATAATCTGATTCTCTAACCCACAATATAACAGATTAACAGAGACATTGATGGTTAATTAAACTCGAAGCCTTGTCATTAGCAGGCGGGGATACTAGTTTAAACTAAACCCTGTAATTATTTAGCTAGCCACAAATCGTTCTTCGTGTCCATATTAGTAACGTAATTAATCTATTGTTCTTTGTAATGTCTAGGAGGAGCAAAGCAAACCCTGGTGGCTGAGATCTAGGACCAATATTGCCGTGTGTCACACATGCAATGTATCTATGGATAGGTGGCTAGATAGAAGACAAATTAGAGGGGGGGCAAAATCTTGTTGGTTGATCACAATACAGAGTTGTTTGTTTGGTTGTTGTTTTGCGGCAAATTAAACTTGAGAATTAATTAAGTACTAAACAAGATAAAGAGAGTTTGGTTTGTCAATCCGGTTTAGCTTGTTGGATGGATCGAGCAAATGGGTTGAGTGTTAATGACCCGAACGCTTTAGTTCAATTTAATAAAAAAAATATATAATTGGGTGGTTATGTACTAAGTAAATTAGTAATTAAGCATCTTAAGTATATCCTTGATCATTGAGGTCAATATGCAAGGTTGTCAATCCAGTTTAGCTCGTTGATCTGGTCGAGCAAGTGGGTTGAGGTCTAATGGTCTGATTGTTTTAGCCTGATTTAGCTTGGATATATGAAGAATTCACTTTATTGTTCATACATTTATAAATTATATAAATGAACATATAACATATGGATAATAACATACACCATTATATCAAAATAACAGTTACTACTTTGGATCCAACATATAGTAAAAATTCAAACACGATCATATTATATCAACATTCAAATATTCAACTTAGAATTGCAAAGGTGAGGTTAGGCGAATGAAAAACCCCAAAAAAGAGTTGCAATTCGCAAACCAAAGAGAAAAACGCATGATGTTGTGTGACCTCAGGAACCTTGTTGCGGATTGACCCACAGGTGTGTGGCTCCCATTTTCCTCACCGGGTCCTGATCAATCCAGGGGCAACCTATGAGTCGGGCGACGACCTGCGGGTAGACAACCTTGTTAATATGCAAAGTTTTGGTTTGTTGTGAAGAGCGGGTAATTGGAGGAGAGATGTCTCTTGTATAATCTAGGTAGACGAGGTACCTAAACCAAGTGAAAGTTAAAAATTGTATGTCAAACGGTAACTAATTAATTAAATGGATTGGGATGTAATAATTTGTTTTGAAAAAAAAAATCCAATACTATAAGATTCATAATTACATATGAAATCTTCCGTATTCTATACATACAAAAATTTTCATTTCAAAACGAACGAATGTTGTAGTTTTTGTTTTGTAACCTGTTCCCAAAACTGCTGGTGAATCAGAATTTTAAACATCGAATTATCGTTCTTTTTTAGCAATGTTCCAAGCAGACCTTATAAAATATACGCATTGTCGATCTATTTTCGATTCTGAGAAAACCCTACCACGTTGAATTCTAACATCAAACAACTCGTATATAAAGGGAAATACCACACACATATGTTATTATTTGACTTCAGTTTTGTGATGACTAAGCATCATTAGCCCAAACTAACCTCTTTCTTGGTCGACAAACAGTTCCCCATTTTTGTTGCTTCTTCAAACTATATACATGTTGGAATATGCACTATCATCATCCATTGAATCGAATTTGGGGTATCCTAGGAAAGGATCGATGTGTAATCAAAACAGAGGACAGTGAGCAAAATTGAAAGCAAAACCACACTGCATGTGTCTCTATGTATGTTGTCGTTTCACTTGGACTTTTTCTTCCCAGCCGACAAGTCTCACATTGATTTGATTAGGTAAAAGCTCTAATTAGTCGTACCCTTTTTAATTAATCTCATGGAATCCGAGGGAGGAAAGGAATCCCCTCGAATTTGACTGAAAATTGAAATCATTAAAGCAAAATGAAGAAAGAAGCGATAATCAATATTTACTTTATCGGGTCCGGGCAGTGCTGCGGCTGCACCCAAAAAAAATTATTCTCACCACAGGAAGAGATGATAGAGAAAGATAAGTATCTCAGTATTCATATCCATTTTGTAATAGGATGGAATTGGAAGTTGGGTATTTGATCAACAGAGCACTATTATAAGTACTACACGAGTAAGAAAAATACAATTTCAAAACGAAAAAAAATGAGGAGAAAATATGGCTTTGTTAATGAAATACGAGTTATTATATATAGGTTTGCGTGCAACAATGACTCGATTAGTTGTAATTTGGGATTAGATTGGCGGTCTTGCTATTGTTGTCTGATTCACTTAGTTCTTATGTTTTTCAATGTTTTCTCCTTCTCATTTTCGAAGAATGAACCATATTCTATTGAGCGGGCTGTCTATTTAGTAATGGTCAACACTGTAGCTTTTTATTATCTGTAAACTTATCTTTCTTATGATTGATCGCTTTGACTATATGAATCATCGTAATATTAACTGTTATCAATTATCCATAAGACCGCATCTATTGTAAGATTTTCCCTTGTGATTTAAATAAAGGGAAATTATCGGATTGACGAGTTTTCTATCTGATAGTATAACTCTTATGGTTTCAATATTTTCTCATCCTAATTTGACAACGCTGAATATTACCACTCAATCATCTAGAAAAAATCTCTTTATTTATTTATTTATGGCTCTGACTAAATCATCATAGCGATCTCTTGTTATCTCTTATCTATAATACCATCTAAGGAAATCAGGGAGGGGAATAACTATCTCATAACACAACTCATTATGAGCAGTTCTAGTGAGTAACCTTATGGTCAATAACCATGTATAAGCTGTCACATCATCATTTAGGGAATGTCTCTAACATTTACCCCTATAAATTTTAATGGGGTACATCTCTTTCATTTTAAGTCATAATTTAATTTTTTTTGCTCGGATAAATCGTATTAAATTTGCTCTTCAAAATTATATCAAATATATTTATGAAACAAAAAAATTGAAATATTTAGTACCAATTTATACCATGGTGGTAATGCTTGGTATTAGATAATTAATATCATACCATGTGGTATGGAAGTGTACCATGTTGGTATGGACATACCATAGTATAGGATGGTTGAATACATTATTGTCGGAATATATGAACGATCATTTATCACATTCATCTTTCTTTACCACCAGTTACCACCCCTATACTAGGGTGGTATGAGGTGGTACATTTTGGTCCTCCATATTTTTTCCAAAAAATTTGTCGATCCAATATATCACGAATAACTTTTTCCTTCTGTGCAAAATTTTCAAAATTCTAGTTAAAAACGAGGTGGTATCACAATAAACTCCTTCAATATGTGCTAAAAAAATTCAAATACGAATTAGAACGAAAAAGAATTTGAACTCATCAGAAATACTAAAAGAATAAAAAGCTATTAATTTTCACTCTTTAGAATGGGCCCAATTTATCTCTAACACACCTAATCTTAATTCTATTTTTACTTCAATTCCTTTGAATTATTATCAAAGCCTTAATCCGGGCAGGCGGGCAGCCGTATGACTCCTCCCCAGCCTTCCTTTTTATATCCCCCCACCAGCCACGAACAGTCCTAATCTCCCTCTTCTTCTTCCTTTGATCCTTTCCCACCATTCCAACAATCAAATCTTTTTCCCCACATTTGAAAATCTCCCTCTTCTTCTTCTTCTTCTTCTTCTCGATTAGGGTTTCCAATCACTTCCCTTTTCTTCCTTTCTCTGGGTTTTCCCCCTCTCGTCCAAAGTTTCCATCTTTACCATTCCTTCTATCAAGATCGATTAGGGTTTAAAGGAAGGAGAACCCACTTCCTTCCAATCAAAGTTTCTCGTACTTACCTTAGATAGACAAACCCCTTTTTGTTTCTCCCCAAAGATTCCTTCTTCCTTAAACCCACACCGAGAAATTCTCAACCTCCCCTGTTTTCTCTTTCCTTTTCCCCTGCCTCAGTCGAAAATGGCTCCGGCGTGTAACACCTGGAGAAGAAGAAGAGTCAAATCCATCAGCACCATCCCCAAATCGAAGCCAAGAACAACAGCAGCAGCGGTAAAGAAATCAACAACAGCGAAGAGAAGATCAAATTCCACTCGCAGAACAAAGATGGAGAGAGAAGCAGCGCATTTAGCACCCGCCACTTCCTCTGCTTCTTCTTCCAGCTCCTCCTCTGTTTCGGAACATATCATTGATGGTGGGTTCGAGGAGTCCAGTATTATCATCAATGGAGGGTTCCATTCCAAAAATATTGATGTTGTTGGGAACGAAAGCAGCAGCATATGCTCGACCCCGAAAGGGCAGAGGTTTCGGATACCGAAGATCGATTCCTGCCCGCCGGCGCCAAGAAAGAAACAGAGAGACGGCGGTGATGATGCTCTGTTTTCGACTTCGCAACGCTCCAATTGCTCTTCGTTGCAGAGAAGGCCCATAGCGTTCTTCGCCCCGCCTGATCTCGAGCTCTTCTTCTTCTTTGCCCGCCGACACATCTCAGTTTGAATGGTTCATCGTTAGTGTTTGAAACTTTTTTGTCCTTGTTTTTGGTATGTAAATACAGAAGTGGATTGATCTTTCTCTTGTTTTCCAATTTGAACACTAAGCTATAGTGTGATGATGGGAAAAAGCAACAGAGTGGCCTTAGGAAATGGTCACTGCTCTCTTAGATTTTACCCTCATCTGGGTATTAGTTTAACTTGTTTTGTTAGTTACATTTTGGTAATTTTACAGTGTGGTTAGTAGTTTGGCTGACTCAGAGAGGCAGGGGAAGAGAGAGTTTTTTTAATAGAGATGTGTATTGAAGCTTGTGAGGTTCATTAATGGCGTTGGTGTGAATTTGTCTTTACTGTTGTTTGATCAGATTTTGTGTCTCTCTAATCTCTATACTTAAACTAAATGAACCTATTAAACTTACACCATGCTTTCAATATTTTGTTCCTATCAATCGATCTCTCATACGATTTTTCACAAATATTGAGTTTCTATACAATCATGATCTAACTCTGTTATAGCCCTTGACATTATAATAGAATGGCAAATCTCCCTTTCCACCAAAACCGCGTTGATACTCTTCCCTTTTTCTTCTTCTTCTTCTTTCTGGTTAGCCAGCCATGAGTACTATGAACTGTTTTCCATGGCAGAAAGTGATTAAAAAAAAGAAGTAGAAAGAAAGAAGGAAAGGCTGAAAAATTCCTGGTGGGGGAGGGCCACCTGAAAATGGTGGAATGGAAGGATCATCATCATCCCAAGTGCAAAAGAAACAATATGGGCAGAGAGAGCAGAACAATGTCTGTAATGGGCTCGAAATGGAACTATAACTAAGATGGAAAAGAAACTGAATTCATCAGCTTTTCTTTGCTAAACTTTTTATTCTGTCTTTTCCCTCAGCATGCAAAATTACAGCTTTTGCTAATCTCTGTCATACTAGAGAATGCAGATTACATCAATCAGCTTAATATGTGTATTTGTGGATAGATAATTCACACACTCAAATCACATCGTTTCGAATCCCTTCAGTAGTAACTAATTACAAAAAATAATCTATATCACCCTTATCTAAAAAAAGTAATTGCACTTGTTAGATGTATACAGTGGTCAACCTGTTCCAAATCTTAGAGGTCATCTGAAAGAATAAATTTTAATAGGTTCATTTAGTTTAAGTGTCTTGTTTGTTGGCAAAATATTTGGATGAATCAGTATGATCTGAATAGTTTCGAATTGATCTATTATAAAGGGAATCCGAATTGAATAGTTGTAATGAAAAAAGAAAAAAAGAAAAACAGAGCTTACTATGTGTTTACTTTATTAATCTCATAATTGTTTATCTCTTTTCATGATGGAAGGAGAAGCCAAATAAGTGGTGGGAGGGTGTCAGCTTGTCTTTACTAACCCCAACATGGATAAGAGAATCCAATGAAGAAGAAGTGGAAAAAAATTCACTCGTGCGGATTGTGATCATCATTTGCCAACTTGCTAATTATTTTCACAGAATCTCAGCGGTCAAATTATTGATGAAACCATTTATCATATCTTTGTTCATATAGTTCCTTCACTTTCATTTTCGCTATATTAAAAAAAAAAAAAAACCTTAAATGAAACCTCCGTTGCTTAATTAGTTATCTTTTGTATCGTGAGATGTTTTTGTATGAAAGTTTAGTTTGGTATCTCTAATTAAACTACTTTCTCCATGTAAGGGGAAGTTTAGTTTGGTATCTCTCGTTGAAGAGCGTGTAAATAAATGATTAAATATGTTTGAGTCAAGATACCCGCCTGTACAGCAGGAACCTCCCTTCTCCCGGCGCCTGCCTGCACACACAAAGAGGAGGGCGCCTGGGCCCGTTAATCCTCCTACGCCCAAGTTAGTTCCTTAGAGAGAGAAGTGTTCTCAAGTAGTAAATTTGGTAAGAGAGTCCAACCTGTGTAAATGCTACCAATTGCCCCTATTTATACTCACCGAACTCGAGGTTGATCTCCTCCACGTCACTGCACCCATTTAATGCTCTGTGTCCTTTTTGTGAGACATCCAACCGCCTTGTCAGGCTCTTGACACGCGACAGGCGCCCGCAGGCAGTGGACCACCTGACAGCTGGTCTTCTCTTGGCTTTTAGTGTTTTGTCCTTTTGGGTCTTTCCTCTTGCTTGGGCCTATTGGTCCTTGTTGGAACCATTTTTTGGGCCTTGCCCCCCAATTCTACTTTGTGAGGGCCCAGACTATGGACCGTTGGGTAGTACCCCCAACAAAATACCATACATGAAACTCTCTTTGAGCTATTGGGATCATTTGGTTTATAATAATTCACAATTATTGATGTGGATAGATTTAGTTTTTATTTTTATCAATAATGTTAATCATAATGTATAAACTAAAATATTGATAGTGTATATCATTACCACATGTCCACATCAACATGCTCTATCAGTTTCTTTACATCATAGATTCGATCGGTCATCAATATGAGCAAGTGGTAACATGAATAACAACATCAGGGAGTCGAACACAATCAATCGTTACTATAGATGTGAAAAAAATGGGGGGGGGGGGGGGGGGGGGGAATGTGAAGAGTTTCATAACTAGCTAGCGAAACAATTAGATATTTGAGAAAATTATAGATAAGAGAAAAACATCCCTTCCTTCTTATTTTGCTTCTAAAGTTAAAACATATTTTTGCTAGCAAAATTTTGCTTACGACTATAGTTTTCATTTATGTTTCAGCTCTTTGGATATTGTATCCTCATAGAGAAAATGTGCATATATATATGAACAAATTAAATATGAGATAGTGAAGTGCAATTTGCGAACTAAATGATTGAGATGAAATGAAAGGGGGTGGCCAAATCCTTTGCCTTTATTCAAGTACTGGAGAATATAAATGATGGCCATGCAAAAATGAACTACTTTCCCATATCTCATCATATAGATGCATTGCATGGCATGAAATAATGGTTCAAATTAGGGGTGGGCATTGGTGCGGTCCAAACCGCTCCGCCCGTGCGGTCAGCCCAAACCGCACCGTTAAGATTGCGGTTTCATTTGCGGTTTAATTATTGAGCGGTTCGCGATTTTGCGGTACGAGCCGACCGAAATCGCGCGGTTGCGGTTAAAAACCGCAAACCGCTAAATCCCTCCAAGGTCGCCCACCAACACTTCAGCGAGGATTTTCAGTTCTCAACCACATCGCACGCCACGACGCGATCTCTTCTCGGCGGTGGCCGACTTACTAGCAAGCCTCACCGGCGACGCCATCGCTGACGGTTCCTCTCGCTACCAATTCTCACCTTCGTCCGGACTCCCAAGCTTCTTGTCCCTCTCAACGTCGCGCACCACCTAGAGGCGAGAGCTCTCCAGATTTCTAGATGGAGCGCACCTCGACCTATCCTATCCTCTGAGCTACGGTGCTTTGGTGAACTATCAAAAGTACTCCCCAGTCGGCGCATTCCTCAGTCTCTACTACGACCGTCGTTGGCGGCGGAGGAAGCAGTAGAATCGCTTTCGAAGATTTCCACTTCCCATCTAATCTCATCTCCATTCAGGCTCACAAGGATGAGACGATGCTCGGTGCGTTTCATCCTCTGTTATAGTAAGGGATTCTAAGATTATCTAGCTTTTCTCAGATCTGGGTTCAATTTGTTACAATTCATGATCTGGGTCTGCTTATTTCTGTCATGGGAACATTAGGTTGTGCTTCAATTTCTCGAATCTTAGAAAAATATCCAGCTGATATCAATATGTTATCGAGTCGCTGGTTTTCCCCTTTCGATGTCCAAGTCTTTAGCTTCTGAAGTGTCTGGCTGTGCAAGTTAGCTGTTGCAGGTAGCTCAAACATTAAGCTGGATTTGATGTGTGTTTACTTATGTGTGAAGAGATGAGACAAGCAGTAGCACAAGGATCAATGTTTTTAATGGTTTTGAGTTGATGTATGTTAGAGAGACTGACATAAGTTCCTGTTCTTAGACTTCTGTGCAGCATTCCTCGCTCAGCTCCTTATGCTTTAGTTTGCTTTGAGAAATAAAATATGAAAGAATGCAGGGTTTCTTTTCTGCAAACGACCTGCCAACCAAAGGGGATGGATGTCTGTGTTTGGTTGGGAGCACTAGCATTTTATTTTCTTGTTGAATAGTTCATTGCATTTGAATTCGGGGCAGTTGCCAAGAGGAAGGGTAGCTTAGAAAAAAACTGGTTTGTGATAGACTTGGACAGATTCATAAGCAAAACTTTACAAAAATAGTTTGAAACACACACAAGCGTTGCATTAGAAACCATATTACTCGATGTCTACCTTGACTCATACAACAAGAACTGGCCTTCTTACTACTGTTCTGTTCCTTGGATGCATGGTTTCTCAACTTATTGATTGCTATATGGTGAAAAAATTTAGTCAGCATAACACGTTAAGGGAGTGCAGGTTCACTACCTTATTTCCCATACATCCACTTGGAAGCTAAATTGTCCTAGCCTAGCGATCTTCTATTTTTAAAATACCTGCAACAACAAAGAAAAAAAAAAGAGTGAATCTGAATTTTTGTTTAATGATCAAGTTGATGGTGCCAATTTTTGAATTTCAGAGCTGAGCATGGTGTTGAAGAATATTGAGATCTCTAATGTTCCACTTCCTCGTACGAGTCCTAATGTACAGGCAAGTGCATTTTCCTCTACTGGGTTTGTGAGTTTCACCCGTAAAGCAACCTCTGTTCAATTTGTACATTCTGTTTCTAACTATTTTCTTTCCCATATTTGTTTCAACCTTTCATGCCGACATTACCACTGCGTGATATTCCTCTCAATCCTTCTACAACTAGAATCAGTAAGAATGCACCAGAACTTGATGAAACTAACAGCTGGGGTTTCAATTTCTTGATTCCTCTCTTTCCAAAGTCAAGAACAGCCAGTCAAAGTCTTGAAAGCCAGAGGATTCCTTGTTGCTTGTGTCTATTGTCAAAG